ACTGCAAGGTCGGCAGTTCAAGCTCACCAGCTGCTCCTCGGAAACCTTACACAGGGTCGCTATGGGTCGAAGGGTTGGGACCTACTCAATGGTACTTCACAACAACAACAAAGAAACCACTCTTGACTAAAACTTTATGCAAAACCAGCTCTTTACCAAACGTCTCCATTTCCATCAATGATAACAACTGTATCGATCAGACTTGAAATTCTAGTAGTATAACAAGTCCTCATACTACCCCAATATCCTCAGGCTTTAAGTCTTGTTCATTACTTCTGTGAAAAGCCTTACCTCTAGAACTGCCCTTCCAGTCTCTCAGACATTGCCTAAAATCAAACCAAATCCATAGTCACTGAGTTAATTCCAAGCAGCCCTATAGGACAGAGTAGAACTGCTCCACAAGGTTTCTGAGACTGGAAATCATTTTTGGAACTAAACTGCCTCATCTTTTTCCAGCCCGCCAACAGTGTCAGTTGACAGTCTAATGCTTACCCAACTGGCCACCAGGGCCCCTTGGTGTTACTGGTAAGTGCGGTCAAGCTGGTTCTAACTCACAGCGACACTGTATAGGGTTTCTGAGCAGTGGCTGGTGGGCTTGAATCATCAACCCTACGGTTAGCAGTCCAGTGCTTACCCTACAGCGTCACACCAAGACTCACAGCATTATATATCTCCTCTCTTCACTCCACATTATTCATTCATTCATTCAGACATTTATTAAGTCATTAATAAATGTCTGAATGAAGTACTGTTGTTAAGACCTGTAGAGTCTGTTCAGACACGTAGTGAACCTGTACAGCGTTTCCAAGGAGCAGCTGGTGGATCTGAGCCGCTCGTCTTGAGGTTAGTCATCCAGTGTTTATCCTATAGCACCATACCAAGAAGTACTGTACTAGTTATAAATATAAACCGTTCTAAACAGGATTCCTGGTGTGGCACTATAGGATAATACACTGGACCCTAAGGTCAGTTTAAACTGCCAGGTCAGTGGTTCAAACTTACCAGCCGCTCCTAGGAAACCCTACACAGGGTTGTGTTAGAGCTGACTAGACAGCACTTAACAACAACAGATGACAGGAAACAGTAAGCTCTGATGTGGTGCTACAGGATAAGCACTGGACTGGTAATTACAAGGTCGACGGTTCAAACTCACTAGCTGCTCCTGGGAAACCCTATACAGGGTCACTATGAGTCAGAATCGACTCAATGGCACTTAACAACGATAAGAAATAGAGGCAGTGATCATTACATAGTATTTCAATGACAACATTTTATTTAGTAAGACCCTACTATGTGGAGTCCTGGTGTGGCGCTGTGGATTAATGCGCCAGACTGCAAAGCCATTTGAACTGCACGGTCAGCAGTTCAAGCTCACCAGCTGCTCTTCGGAAACCCTATACAGGGTCGCCATGAGTTGGAATCGACTCAACCGGCACTTAACAACAATGTGACTACCCTTCTTCCTACATATCATTAACTATTTACATCCTCACAACAGTCCTAAAATATGGAAATAATTATTTTCTGCAAAGCAAGGAGATTATAAAATTCAAAGAAGTTTCCCAAGATCATTGTTGCTGTTGTTAGTGTCGTTAAGTCAGTTCCAACTTTAGTTCATAGAGATCCTGTATAAGGTTTCCAGGGAGCAGCTGGTGATTCTGAACTGCCAATCTTGTGGTTCAAACTGACTTTGCAGTCCAGTGCTTTATCTCACAGCACCACACAAGGACTCCAATATACATACACACACACACACACACAGGATGACCAATAAGTGCCCCAAAAATGTTCAACACAATTAGTCATTGTTGTTGTTGTAAGCTGCCATTGAATTGGCCATCAACTTAGAGTGTGACCTCATGCAAAACGAAAATAAATGTTGTTCAGTCCTGTGCCTTCCCATAATTGTCAGGAAGGTGCATATCAAAATCAGAACTCCCGTTGTTGTTGTTGTTGTTGTCGAGTGTTGTAAAATCAGTTTTGACTTAAAGCAATCTTGTATAGTTTCCAAGGAACGGCTGGTGGTTTTTAGCCTACAACCTTATGGTTAGCAGTCCAGTGCTTATCCTACAGGGCCACACCAGGAGTCCCATAAGAACAGTTATGAATCAATGCAAAAAATGATGGTGTAAAGCCAATGTTCTCCCATGTAGAGTATCACTCATTTCACAATAAAAACTAAAAAAAAAAAAAAAAGAATAGTTATGAATATAAAGTTTAATTTTTTTTAAAGAGTATAAAGTTTTACATTTTTTTAAAAAACAAGTGTTAATGAGGATGTGGAGAAACTCGAGCCCTCATATATTTCTGGTGGGAATGTAAAATGGTGTAGCCAAAATAGTGTGAAAAAAAGTTTAGTGGATCTTCAAAAAGTTAAATATAGAATTATCCCATTATTAAAGCTAATTGCTGTCAAGTAGATTCCAACTCATGGCTAGCACATGTGTGCAGAGTAGAACTGCTCCATGTGACTCAGAAATTTCACTTCTTGGTAAATATACTGTGGCACTGCTGTGAGTTAATGCACTGGACTGCAAAGTTGGTTTGAACCGCACGGTCAAATGTCAACAGATAAAGGGGAAACAAAATGCAGTATATACAAGAGTGCTTCTAAAAGTTCATGGAAATTGGTCATTATCTTTCTATTCCATTTTCCACAAACTTTTTGATGACTCCCTCCTACATCCAGTGGAATATTATTTAGCCATATAAAGGAATAAAGTGCTGATATATGCTACAACATGAACCTTATAAACATTCTTAGGAGAATAAGCAAAACACAACAGGAAAAACACTGTGTGAACCACCGTATAAATATCTAGACGAGGAAAATTCATCGAGTCAGAAGTAGATCAGATGATACAGAGGATGACAGAAAGGGGGAAAGAGGAGTGATTCCTTAATGGGTGTAGAGTTTCTGTTTGAGAAGATCAAAATGTTTTGGAAGTAGTGATGTTTGCTCAACATTGTCAATATAATTACTGCTGTTATGTGCTATATACGATTTCTAAGGAGCAGCTTTTGAACCAGTGACCTTGTGGTTCAAACCGACCTTCCAGTTCAATGCTTATCCTTGTTGTTGTTGTTGTTAAGTGCCGTCGAGTCGGTTCCGACCCATAGCGACCCTGTACAGGGTTTCCGAGGGTGTAAATCTTTACGGGAGTAGAAAGCCTCATCTTTCTCCCGCGGAGCGGCTGGTAGTTTCGAACCGCTGACCTTAAGGTTCGCAGCCCAATTAGTAACCACTACGCTACCAGAGCTCCTCCTTAGTGTCACTGAATTACAAACTTAACAATAGTTAAAATTAAAAAATTTTAAAGCATCTAATATAGCTGGAGATATAATAGTAAAACACAAACTCCAAAAAGTTTTTCCTGACCCCCAACACCCCTACCCCACCATACTGGAATAACAGAACCTATGGTTCTTATTGCTCTCCTTAACACCCGCTCTCATGGGACATACCCAATAAACTACCTAGTTATCTGTACAGATTCACCCTAGACTTTAGATATGGCAAATACCAGGCAGTCAACAAATATTTGTTGATGGGTGAATGAACAAAATGAGGCACACCATAAGTGCTACAGATTTTCAAAGGAAGAGATTACATAACATAAACACCTAAATGCAGGAACAATCTTTTTGTATAGTTGAAAACAAAAAGATAATAATGTTTATACAAGTTCTATTAAAAATAAATAAAACAGGGTTATAGGCAGGCCAAATTCATGTCAAAAACAGAGAAACACGGACTTGCCATAAAAATTTAGGTCAGTAATTTTCATCTCCAATATTACAACATTACCTAAGAGTTTGTTAGAAATACAGAATTTCAGATTGTACCCTTCCCTACTGTTATCAGAATTCCCATTTTAAAACAATCCCAAGTGATTCCAAGCACCAATCAAAGCACTGGTTTATATAATAAAAATGAAACTGCCTCCTGTAATCTCATTGGTCACCATCTTACTATGTTATCTCTGTAATGAATAATCAGACTTTTCAAGTACTACTAGATACGGCCATGACACACTTTCAGACATATCCGGGTGTAAATCCAAATTATTACTTCAAAGAGCACAGAATTAATTGATGTTTCATTGAACATTGAATGAAACTTTTAAGAAATATACAGAAAAAAAAAACCAAAACACCATACTCTGTGTTCTTAGGACCCAGATTATATATGGCAAAAAAATAAGAGAAATTAATTTCAGCAGCCAAAGTAATTACAAACTTGAAGCTTAATACTAAGAAAGGGGTCACTGAAAAGAAGATATTAACATTTAAGAACAAGCTTCTGTAAGTTTCAGTGTTACATACAGTTCCAAATATTCTCTATTAAAAACTTCATTTAGACTATCCTATCTAACCGACTCGATGGCACCTAACAACAACATCTAAAACTATATAATAAAACAGCCTCAAGTCAGACTTACTAATCACCTTCATTGATTCAAAGACGCTTTAAAACACCAGCAAAATCTCAAATAAGAATATATTTTGCGCACTTGCAAAAGCATTCACAAATTTTTCACGCCACGACACTGTCATCCAAAACTGCAATTAGATCTGAGGCCACGGGGGCTTACAGTCAGATTGACCTTTCAAAATTAAGACACAAAGGAGGAGGAGAAATTAGATGAGGAAAGGTTGCAAGCCATTTAAGCCTCGCTGGCCTAAACACACTTCTCCATCACAGGGCAGAAGAGAGGAAAAATAACTCGAGTCTCTTGAATTCAAATTTGTAAGTATCCTGAACTTAATCCTGAAGTTGGGAGCCCATCCTCTTCCCAGCAACAGGCATTCGGATGACAGGTCAAACTTTGAAATCCTCTCTCCTTTCCGCCCTCCCCCAGTAGAATTTGGGATCCCGTTCCCCAAAACACTCCAACACTCCAACCCTCCAAAGTGAGAAACCCCTAGGGAGCCCAAGAGCACCGCCCAGCCCACCCTCTACACAAAACTCGCCCTGGGGGAGGCTGCAGAGGTCTCACCAAGTACAGGGGGGCGTAGACCTTCAAGGACTCCTCCAGGGCACCTCCGGTGATCTGCAGGAAGGAGACCCCGCAGGAAGGGTGCCAAGTGTGGCCGATCTCATAGCAGTTATGAGGGATGGACTTGCTGAAGGCCGCCATGACGAGGAACCTCAGAGGGGTTAGGAGGGGGAGAGCTGGTTGTAGGGAGGGATGAGGGGGAGGTGGAAAGCAAGCGCCCAACTGCCGCGCGCTGTCCCAGCCTGCAGCCTGCTGTGCGGAATAAAAGGGAAAGGTCACGCGAGAGAGGTTACTCTGGGCCAAAGTCCTCGGATGTTGAGCGCTCGACGTATCCCAGCTCTAGGGGGCGGGACGCGCACAGGGGAGGAGGGAAGAGGCGGAGCGTGCGCGCTCCCACTAGCTGGCCTCTGCTGGGGGCGGGCTCCTGTCGGCTCCGCGCGCGATCCTGCTTCAGAACGCTGCTTGGCAGGGAGGCCAAGGATTTAGGAACCTTCTGCCCAGAGCTGGCCTCAAGATCTGGGAGCTCAGGAAGGGCCAGTTTGCCTGCCTACTCCCACGCGTTGCCACGTACTGGAGCGTAAATGCTCCATGATAAGTGACTTAGATTGCACTCCAGTCGTAAGGAGCTCTGGTGATGCAGTAGTTAAAGCGCTTGCCTGCTAACCAAAAAATGAGCCACAGCCACTGGGCAGAGAAAGATGTGGCTTTGGAAACCCTGTAAGGCACTTCTCTGCCCTAGAGGGTCTCTCTGAGTCAGACTCCATGGCAACCAGTTGGATATTTTCGGTTAGGTATTCCAATCTCTGTCCTCTCTAAACCGGGCCAAGTAGGGCTGAGGTAGTGGAAGAAAGAGATTAAATGTCTTTGTTGGGATCTAGTGGAAGAAAAGGTTTGCCAGAGGACAGCCTGGGACAAACGCCTCCCCATAACTGTATAAAAATATTACACCAACCGTTCCTCCCACAGTCTCTCACTGGCCTAGGTCCAATATCCATTGCAATGGCCATACAGAACTCAAACACTATTATGGCGTTTGTTAGGGAAGTTAACAGGTTACAATTCAGGCTCAGAAATGTTCAGGGCACAGTTCTTGCAGTCAGAACAGCCTCTCCTCAGCCATGTCCACAGGCAATCTCTCTCTGGCCCTCAGCCTGACCTTTCTGCACAGTTCCAGCAGTTACAAAGCTTCTTTAATACTGCTGATAAATGCTCAAAGGGCACACACCACCATAAGCCTCAGCCTGAAGGCACTTGGCGCAAGCTTTGTGGGTCAACAAACCTAACTCCTCTAATTAAATGTCTGAAACCCACCACCACCACCACCACCACCACCACCACTCTGCAAGCAAAGCTCCTGTCCAAAGTCACTCAGCTCTACTCACCTGTGGACTGGGAAGCCCCGCACTCTGGCTATTGGTTATGCTGCGGCTGCTTCTCTGCCACTTATCCAATGTCTTGGCTTTCTGTCCCTGGGTCAAAGAGGTTCAATACACAGGAATCTCAGGATTCAAAGCTTCCTTCCTAGCTCATCTTCTTTGATGTTAGTAAGATCTCCCCTTCTGCTTCTGAGATGGCTAATTTTCTCCTCAGCAGGATGGCAAAATTGACTAATCACAATTAGCCCTGTTAACAATCACTCACAACTGAATCAGACTCTATCACCATCTTCCCCCAGATTTTCTTACCCAGACCCAGCAGGAGAAAGCCATTTGATGGAAGTTTACAAAGACTAGAAGGGGAACTTGATGTAGTGCTGTAGGATAAGCACTGAACTGCTGACCTCAAAGTTGGCAGTTCAAACCCACCATCTGCTTCTATGAGTCAAAACTACTCGGCAGCACTTAACAACATGGCTAGAAAAGACATTAAATAATTCACTGCATTGCAGGCCATTCCATGGCCCTTCAAGCAATTATTTCTATCATACATGATGGATTAGCTTTTTCTATATTATTTTAACTGTAAGCACACTCATGAAAATTTGTAAGCCGGCTACTTCATACCTTTTTCTCCCTCCCTCCATCTTAGCTATCCAGTGGTATTTTCAATAACCTCATATGCATATGAAAGCTGGACAGTGAATAAGGAGAACTGTAAAAGAATTGATGCTTTTGAGTTATGGTGTTGGTTTGAAAGTGCCATGGGCTGCCAAAAGAACAAGTAGGTAGGTCTGTGTTGGAAGAAGTGCAGCCAGAGTACTCCTTGGAGGCCAAGGTGACCAAATTTCATCTCTCATACTTCTGGCATATTGTCAGGAGGGACCAGTCGCTAGAGAAGGATATCATGTTTGGTAAGGTGGAGGGTCAAAGAAAAAGAGGAAGACCCCCAATGAGATGGATTGGCTAAGTGGCAGCATCGAAGGACTCAAACGTGGCAACAGTAGTGAGGTTGGCCCAGGATTGGGCAATGTTCCATTCTGCTGTGTATAAGGTGGCTATGAGTTGGCACCAACTCGATGGCACCTAACAACAACAACAGGAAATAGAAATAAAAGAGAAAATTAAGCATAAACATATCAGAAGAAAAGAAACAACAAAGATCAGACCAGAATTAAAAGCAAACCCAGAAAATCAGGAGAAAGAATCAATGCAACCAGAAGTTGCTTCTCTGAAAAGATTAATAAAATTAACAAGCCTTTAATTACAATGACAAAGAAAGTAAGAGAAAAGTTGCAAATAATGAAAATTTTTAAAAATGAAGGAAGGAACATTACAACTGACCTATAGAAATAGAAGTTACGATAGAATATTATGAACATTATATTATGACAGCAAACTGGATAACACAGGTGAAATGGACAAATTCTTGGAAGCACACATCCTACACAAATGAATTCAAGAGGAAATAGATAATCTAACAGATCCATAACAAGTGATGATATTGAATTAGTCATCAAGAACCTTCCAAGAAAAAAAAAGTCCTATAGCAGATGGCTTCACTGGAAAATTCTACTAAACATTTAGAGTAGAATCGACACCAATAATGTATAAACTCTTCCAAAAGATAGTGAAGGAAGAACACTTTATAATTAATCCTAAGAAAGCAAACATAGTCCTGGTACCCAAATCAGACAAAGATACTGCAAGAAAAAAAAAACACTAGCCAATATTGTTTATACATATAGATGCAAAAATCTGTAACAAAATACTATTGAGCATATCCAATAGCATATTAAAAGAGTCAGACACCATGACCAGGAGAAAGATGAGACTTTCTATTCCATGAAGATTTAAATCTTTGGAAGCCTACAGAGGGTCACTATGAGTTGGAACCGACTTGATGGCGCTTAACACCAAGACCAAGTAGGATTTATTACAGCAATGCAGGGGGTTCAACATTAGAAAATCAATCATCATAGAACATAGGACAAGAAACACATGATAATCTCTATGAATGCAGAAAAAGCATTTGATAAAATCCAGCACCCGTTCTTGATGAAAACCCTAAAGAAGATTAGACTAGAAGGGAAATCCCTCAATATAATGCGGGGAATATATGAAAAGCCAACAATCAACATTATACTTGATGGAGAAAGAGTTTTCTCTTTGAAATTGGGAACAAGACAAGGGTGACTGCTCTCAACACTTTTATTCGATATTGTATTGGATGTCCTAGCCAGAGAAATAAGACAAGAAAAATAAATAAAATATATCCAGACTGGGGGAAAAAAAGTAAAATTATCTCTATTCACAGATGATATGATCCTATATATAGAAAGTCCCAAAGAGTTCACATATACACACACAATTTATGAAGCTAATTAAGGAATTTAGCAAAGTTGCAGGGTATGAGGTCAACCAACAAAAATCAGTTTGGTTTCTATACAATAATCATGAGAAGATGAAAGGGAAGTGAGGGAAATTCCATGTACTGTCACTTCTAAGAGAATAAAATATTTAAGAATAAGCATAACCAAGTATATGAAGGCCTTATACACTTAAAACTCTAAAAACACTGCTGGCAGAGATTAAATAAGACAAATAAATGGAAAGATGTTCCATGTTCATGGATTGGAAGACTTATAATACTTCCTGAAATTGTTAGGATTCTGTATCAAGTCAACTAGGCCAGGATTTCCAGAGATTTAGCAGTTGGGATGTGCTTATTCCCATGGTGATGAGACCTAATACAGGCATAGTTAGCTTTATGATGAGCAGCTATGAGCATCCAATCAGTTGAAGAGATGTTTTCTTGGGGGTGTGGTCTACTCCCACTATAATGGACATGCAGGAAGGACAATCTCTTCCCCTGGGGACCTGGAACTATACCATAGTAAGATGATAAATATTTCACTGGTTTTGCTTCTCTAGAAAACCTGTCCTAAGACATATGGTATCGAGAGAATGGGGTTCTAGAGACAGAATCTTAAGGTTGAGTTTTCTAAACTGGTTCTCAAGTCTGACTAATTTTAAAGGCACTGATATAGGGTAGAGGCATATCTGACCTCCACTTCATAGGAATTGGTTGATTTTGAATTTGCTCCTCTTTCCCTCTAGTGGGGTCAGACAAAGTCAGACCTGGTCCCCACCTGGTTTAAGCAGTTGGCTCAATGAGCAGGATTCATTGCAAGGACTCCAGATCTATGAAATTATGAAGTTTTATAAGAGAAATAGAACGAAGTGGCATGGGATAAAGTATTTTAGCGGAGAGGAGAGAGGCAGCTTCTGGAGTTGCCTGGAGCCGATGACACACTGCTTAAACAGGGCTGATGGTAACTCTGGGCCAACTTGAATCTACCCTGCAAGAGGCCCAAGGTCATATGCATATGAAAGGGGCTAGTCCAAGGGAGAAGAATAGATTAGTGTTTTGTCACTGTAGGATTAGCACTGAACAGAAAGGTTGGTTTGAATTGCAAGGTTGGTGGTTCAAATCCACCAGTCGCTCCTGGGAAACCTTATGTGGGTTGCTATGAGTCAGAACTGACTCAATGGCACTAAACAACAACAACAAAGGTTTATGTGTTTGACTGCCTTATGGATATTGGTTTCTCCTGCCTATTATTGTAATATAGATAGACATGTATGATAGCAATATTGGAAATTATGATTACAGAGAACTTTAAGCTCATCTTCAGTATATACTTAAATTGGATTTGCTAAAAGGAGAGTTAGAATTTACTCAGAAAAAAGTAGGCTTTTTTTGTTTAAGCCTTTGTAGAGTATGGGGCCTTTGGTGGAATCCTTGAGCCCCACCCAGAACCTTCAGAGTTAGGACAATTGTGTTTGAGTTATTTTTCTTTTTCTTGTAAAGTTGTTGT